CACACCAGTCTCACAATAGAATAAAACATAAGCATGCACACCAGTCTCACGATAGAATAAAAGGTAAGCGTGCACACCAGTCTCACAATAGAATAAAACATAAGTGTGCATGCCACAGTCTCACAATAGAATAAAACGTAAGTGTGCACACCAGTCTCACAATAGAATAAAACCTAAGTGTGCACACCAGTCTCACGATAGAATAAAACGTAAGTGTGCACACCAGTCTCACGATAGAATAAAACGTTTAAGTGTGCACACCAGTCTCACGATAGAATAAAACCTAAGTGTGCACACCAGTCTCACGATAGAATAAAACGTAAGTGTGCACACCAGTCTCACGGTAGAATAAAACCTAAGTGTGCACACCAGTCTCACGATAGAATAAAACGTAAGTGTGCACACCAGTCTCACGATAGAATAAAACCTAAGAGTGCACACCAGTCTCACAATAGAATAAAACCTAAGTGTGCACGCCACAGTTTCACCAAAATAGAATTGCCTGGCCTTTCCTATGTAGTCTGCTCTTAATCACCCACATCAATAAGAAGACAAAAGTTCAAAATTCGCTTTGAACATCTGTCAAAGTGGATTTCAAATTTTACTTTGAAGTTTTCCTTTTGGTATTTGTATTCCAAAGTAAATGTCCACACTGGTTTCTTAGAACGTAAGAATAATGATCACATACAAGTGTAAGTCAGCCTCCCGACAGCTGGACCACAAGCCATCGGGCCACAACAGGACAAAGAACGCGACCGCAGCACAGAAACACCTATGACTTGCAGGAGCCTGACTCGCTGAAAAGCGGCTTGGCTGTCTGCAGTTATCAGTGGAGAGACAGTACTGGGGTTTCCCAACCATCCCTCCGGTTTTCTTCCTTAAATCCCCAGTTCGAGTCCCCAGGGACTAACTGTTGTTAAGCTACTGGAGTCCAGAATGGCCAAGATGGTAACTGGCACCTCTGCCAACGCTGATCTAGCCAGGCCTGTTCTACGCTGACTGCCATGCATCTGTGCACACGCCTGTAACCACCGACACGCCTCCCCATTGCTCCCTCACAAGGGCCACAGCAGCAGTCCCAGCTCTGGACACCATATTAGTTTACAAAGTTATTTCCCATATCAGAAGGTGAACCATGCGAGAGAAAAACTTTGAATCTAAAGCATTTTTAAAAGTATTTTACATCTTTTTGACATCATTTAACAAAAATATAAAATATCAGCAACTCCCAGATAGCACTTTCTATAGGCAGGCATGATTAATGATATAACAAAAAGCAGGAAATGGCAATGATAGAAGGAAAGGAATAATACACGATTAAAAATGATGATTTTGGTTGGTCCAAAGGCAGTGAGTTATCTCAATTGATTGTTCACAGTCAGTTACAGACCGAACTCCTTGTTCTACTCTTTCCTCCCTTCTCACTACTGCACTTGACTAGTCTTAAAAAAATAAAAACAAAAAATGATTACTTTGACCAGGCACATGGTGGCTCACACCTGTAATCCCAGCACTTTGGGAGGCTGAAGTGGGTGGATCACTTGAGGTCCAGAGGTTGTAATCAGCCAGGCCAACACTCAAAACCCCATCTCAGGGGTAAAATACAAAAATTAGCCTGGCGTGGTAGTGCACAACTGTAACCCCAGGTACTCAGGAAGCTGAGGCAGGAGAATCACTGGAACCCAGGAGGCGAAGACTGCAGTAAGCCGAGATCCCACCACTGCACTCTAGCCTGCGTGACAGAGCCAGACTCTATCTCCAAAAGAAAACACAAAAAGATCATTTTTACAATCAAAATTTTGAAAACTCACAGAAAATAAATAGAACCATGCCATGCCGTGCCATGCCCAGGCCTGGGAACTAGGAAAAGGCTGAAGTGGAATAGAGTGGCAGAAGTGTGTGTGTGTGTGTGTGTGCACGCGCGTGCGCGTGCCTGTGTGTCAGGGTGGGACTGGTGGCAGGGCATTTTCCCAGGGCCTGTTACCACATCTATCCTTCTTACAGGTAACCCTGCCCCTCCCCAGATAGACCTGGGGCGGTGGCCCCATCTGCAACCCAGGCAAGGCCCCCTCATGGCCAGGGTTGTCAAACAGGACCGCCCCTGCGGCTAGCCCACCTGCCCCCCTGCTCTTCCGACCTCTCAGACCCTTGGCAGCCCCTGGGCCTGGACCACACCTTCCACTGCAAAGCTCCCCAGAACTTTCCAACATTACACTCCCAGAAGCCTGGTAGCCTGGTGAAGGGAGAGAGCTGAAATTCTCCCTCACGGATGACTAACAGCTATGCTTCTCTTCTGTCTTTTTTTTTTTTTTTTTTTTTTTTAAGACAGAGTCTCGCTCTGTTATCCAGGCTGGAGTGCAGTGGCACCATCTCTGCTCACTGCAATCCCCACCTCCCAAGTTGAAGCAGTTCTCTTGCCTCAGCCTCCCAAGTAGCTGTGATTAAAGGCACCTGCCACCACGCCTGGCTAATTTTTTTATTTTTAGTAGAAATGGTTTCACCGTGTTGACCAGGATAGTCTTGAACTCCTGACCTCGGGTGATCTGCCTGCCTCGGCTTCCCAAAGTGCTGGGATTACAGGGGTGAGCCACCACGCCCGGCTGACGTCCTTCTGTCTTATTTCACACCACTTATCTTTCTACCCAGGCAAACTATAAAAAACACACACATGAAACACTGAGATTCTCCGAGCGTCTCCAGATCCAAGCTGTTCTTTCAATGCTTCCTGCCATGCACTCTGCAGTATGTCTCATTATGATGTTTTCACACCATTCACAGAATATGACCATCTTTAGTGCATTTTCATTTTGCTCTAATTTGTGGCAAACATTTTTGGTTTAAGAAGCACTTCCACAGACGATGCCTTCTAGCAACTTCGTAAGTGAGCACCCTGAAGTCCCCTGAGAAGCCTGGACTCACCAGGTCCGGGAAAAGCTTCCCCACCTCAACCCAGGTCTCTAACTCCACACCTTCCACACCACCCAATGCCTCCATCTACAAGTCGCGCGAGCGCGCACACACACACACACACACACACAAATACACATGAGCACACACACACAAACACAAACACACATAAACACACACAAACACATACACGCACACAGAAACACACACGTACACAAACACATACAAACTGCAGACGAAAGGCAGCATAGCAAAGCACCCAGAAGACAAATTTGGTTAAATCTGGAAGTCAAGCATCAACTATTAAGTGCATAAAAAGCTATTTTGAATAACTTTTAACTTCACCCCCAACTGTCTACAACTAACGAATTACAAATAGCACCTTATACAAATGACTTTTCTTACTGCTGAGAAATCATGGAGGTCTTATCTGAATATAAAAAGTTACAGCATCAGTAACTGCCCATGTTAGCCACTACAGCCAATCAAATAAATGCTGCGAGAGACAGAGGGACAAAGTGTATTTTGAAAAATATACAAAGTGTAAACCTCAGTAATCATCTCTCTCCCAAAAAAATTTTTTTTCTATAAAGCAAGTGTTCAAAACATATTATTAATAACAAGCAGCAGTGAATTGTTACTTCTTACAGGCTCCACCTATGTGGAAATTAAGTCACGCCTACACAGAATCTAGAAGTGACCTGTCCATACTCAGGTTATGGTCAACCAGAGAAAAGAATTAAAACCCACTGCATCTTGAATCAATGAGAATTTTTACTAGTAGCAAAAGTTAGGGACTGGAATCGCTATTAGACGGCAGCAAGTTCACCTCCAGCTGCCTGAGAATGTGATCTCCTGGCGACAGTCTGGAGGGATACTCAGACTTTACCTTCAGTGCCCAGGGGCCCATGGAGGAGGAGTGTGGCTGGGACAGGCGGGTATGGAGCCTGTGGACCAAGGGCAACTTTCCTCAGACTCTACCTTGGACTTCCTGGGCACCCGCAGGCTGTGGAGTAGGGGAGCAGGTGGGGTGCAGGGGGGACAGCTGGAGTGCAGGGGACAGCTGGGGTACAGGTGAACAGGTGGAGTGCAGGGGGAACAGCTGGGGTGAGGGGGACAGGTGGGGTATGGGATAACAGGTGAGATGCAAGGGGGAACGAATGGAGTGCTTCAGGGTGAACAGGTGGGGTGCAGGGGAAACAGATGAGGTACAGGGGACAGCTGGAGTACAAGGGAAACAGGTGGCGTACAGGATGAAGAGGTGGGGTGCAGGCAGACAGGCAGGGTACAGGATGAACAGGTGGGGTTCGGGAGACAGGTGTGGTGCAGGGGGACAGGTGAGGTGTTGGGGGACGGGTGGGGTGCAGGGGACGGGTGGGGTGGGGGGACAGCTGAGGTCCAGGCGGACACCTGGGGTCCGGAGGGACAGCTGGAGTCTGGGGAACTAGTGGGGGTCAGGGTGAACAGTAGGGTGTGGGGGGACGGGTGAGGTACACAGGGACAGCTGGGGTGCAGGGAACTGGTGGGATGGGGGACAGGCGGGGTGCAGGGGGAACTGGCGGGGTGCAGGGGGACAGCTGGGATCCGGGGGACTGGTAGGGTGCAGGGTGAACAGGGGGTTTAGGGGTACAGGTGGGGTGCACAGGAACAGCTGGGGAAGGGAGCTAATGAGGTGGGGGACAGGTGGGGTGCTGGGGAAAGACGCCGGCTTTTCTTACACCTATCCTCCTCTCCATCCAGAGGTGGACCCGTTCTTCCTCTTTACCAAAAAATCCAAGTTACCGCACGACCCCCACACGACCCCCGCTCGCCCCTCGGGCTCCTTAAGCTGATCTGGGCTCCCTCCTGCCCTTGGAGCCGGGGGTCCCTGCGGCCGGTCCCGACGGCCCCCGCCCAGGCCCGCGCCGTTATCCTGGGGTGCCAGGGACGCCACGAAAGGGGGAGCTGCTCGGGGGTCTCAGCCCCTTCCCTGCAACGTCTGTGCCGGGGGTCGGGGGCGCCTCCACCTCGGGGCGGGACCCCGCGACTTCGGGGGAGCCGGGCAGGAGTGCAAGTCTCAAAGCAAACCAGAAGCCCGCGGGGCCCGCACTCACCTCGGCGGCCAGGACGCGGCCCGCCGTCCCCTGCTGCCCCGCCGTCCCCCGCCGTCCCCCGCCGTCCCCCACGTCCCCGACGACCCGGTCAGTCCCGTATCGCGCGCCCGCCGGCGACAGAGATGCGCCCGGCCCCTCCCGCCCGGACGGCCGGCTCCACCCACCACGCTGTCATTGGCGGACCCAGGCCGTGCCGGGCGCCCATTGGTCGCAGCACCTGCCGGTTTCTCGGCCGCGCCCCGCCCACGCGCCCGCGCATTCCTTCCAGGCCACGTGGCCGCGCGCGCCCCCTCCGGCTCCCCAACGCCCCGCCCAGGCTGCGCACGCGTGGGAGGGGCGCACGCGTGGGAGGGGCGCGCGCGGAGGCCCCGCCCCCGGATCGCAGCCCGCCCCGCGGACCCCTGGGCCGAGCGCCCTTCGGGAGGAGCTGCTGGGCGCACCCAGCGCCCTCCCCGCCCCCAGCATCTGTGCCCTCCCCGAGAGCCGCTCCCGGCCCGGAGCTGCGTCCGACGGGGAGGGGGCGCCGGGCAGACCCTGACCCTCCCCGCAGAGCATCGCCTCCCCCGCTGCTGACCCCCCCATTCCCCGAGCTGCCCACACGGGGAGGGGGCGCCGGGACCCCACCCGAGCCGTCCCTAGAGACCGCGTCCCTCCGTCCTCAGCTGGCCCTGCCCACAGGGCGTTCCGGGTCTTCAGCGCCAGCTGCCCTGGACCAGCCAAGGCTTGGGCGTTTGGAAATGCGATGACTTCAGCCACGTTTCCGAGTCAGTTTTTGAAGCTTGCTTCTTCCCAGGAAACACTCGTTTTTTTCCGGGTCCTTTGCAGTGAATTGGCCCCTTCTGAGTTATTGGAATTGTTTACCTTGAGCATGAATTTATCTTATACTTTTAAAAAGGAAACAGAGTATCCTTATAATTACTATTACAGAAAAAGAAAAAAAAAAAAAAACGAGAAAAGAAGATATTTTTAACCAAGATAACTGAAGGATGTTATTACCTGGTCAACGAATTTAACATATGTGTTCACATATGCTGGATTTATATCTGTGCCTTCTCCTACCCAAATCTCTGAGTCATAGAAGTAATTTAAAGTCAGCATTTTAGAAGTGTCAGACTTCTTAGAGATTTCTGGTCCCTTTCACTTGTTTTATGGAAGAACTGCAAAGAGCTATTTGGCGTGCTAAGTAACACAAAATTAATTTAAACATTAAGTACCCTTACGGCTTGTGTGCTCTGGTATAAGTTATTTCCCTGAAAATTCTAGACTGTGTAAAAATCATAGCCAACATGGAAAGACTACAATGGTTGGAAAAATAATCGTAGGTAAGGTGATATTTTTTCAATGTTTATTATTCACACTTGCCAATTTTATGAAATCAGACTAAGTTATTTTTATGAATTGAAAAAGCTGTTTCCTCTCAGCAACCTTGAGATTAGAAAACTTATTTTAGGTTTCTATTCCTAGGGTTCTCTGGGTACCTTATTCAAAGATCTGTTGCACAGATAATTAATGGTCTTGGTCAACAAAGGTAAAAAGATCAACAGAATTAGTTCTTGTTTACCTAAATATGATGAGAAAATCCTGATACTTGCTACGTTTTCTAAAAAAGTAGACTAGAGATAAGAGGAAGTGGTACTGTGTATGGAATAAACAACTCATTTTCTCAATGGCTGGAATTGAGCCCCTGAACTCAGGGCAGCCAGGGACACAGCTGAGTAGGGCCACGAGGCAATGACTTCCAGGTGGGTTGGGCAGAGAATTCTCTGATTCAGAGCTCCAATAGAACCTGTCTGTCTGCTTTATTCTGGCATTCCTCAGAGATACATCCCTATTTTTGTAAGCCCTGATATGGAAAAGTTGGGATTTTCCATTATAACTCCCTCTTTGACCCATGGGATGTTTAGGAAAGTTAGGTTTACCTTTGAAATATTTGGGGACTTTCTGGTTTTCTTTTTATTATAACTAAAGTTGAATTCCACTGTGGCGTTACACCATAATCTATTTTCTTTATTTTCATCGTTTATGATTTTCAAACTCTTGCTTCATGGCCCTACATTCGTCTATTTTGGTAAATGTTCCATGAGTGCTTGCTAAGAACGTATTATGCTTTCATTGATATCATGTTCTATATATGTCAATTAGGTCATATCTGTTACTGGTTTTTTTTGTTTTTGTTTTTGTTTTGTTTGAGACAGAATCTTGCTCTGTTGCCCAGGCTGGAGTGCAGTGGCACGATCTTGGCTTACTGCAACCTCCCCATCCTGGGTTCAAGCGATTGTCTTGCCTCAGCTTAGTGAGTAGCGGGGACTAAAGGTACCTGCCACCATGTCTGGCTAATTTTTTATATTTTTAGTAGAGAGAGGGTTTCACTGTGTTAGCCAGGATGGTCTCGATCTCCTGACTTTGTGATCTTCCCACCTCGGCCTCCCAAAGTGCTGGGATTATAGGTATGAGCCACCTCACCCAGCCTGTTACTAATTTTTTTTATCTGCTTGTATCAGATGCTGTAAAGGTGTCTAAAATCTTTTGACTATCCACAGTCTATTCAGCATTGTACTCCAGCATCTAACAAGTGTTAATAGGTTATAAAAACAAAAAGTATAAGGATTGAGGGGAAAAAAAAACTTGATTATTTACAGACTATATATATATATATGTATATATATGTATATATGTATATGTATATATATGTGTATATATATATATGATTATATATGTTAAAACAAAATTATCTACAAATTATTAGGATTGAAATATAATTCAGAAATTTCAAATGGATCATAGACTTCAGTGTAAAGATTATAAAGTGTCTGGGATAAACTATAGGAAAAAATCTTACTGATCTTCAAGTAAGATGCAAAATGGACCAACCATTTAAAAATGATTAAGTGGCTCATCAAAATTTAATATATCTACTAATGTTATGACATCATTAAGAAAATGAAAAGGCAAGCCACAGACTGGAAGATCACAAGGGCAATGCAGATATCCCACAGATGACTTGTCTTAATCCATGTTGTGCTGCTGTAACAGAATACCTGGGAATGGGTGATTTACAATGAACAGAAATGTATTTATCACAGCTCTGGAGGCTGGGAAGCCCAAGATCAAGGAGCCACATCTGTCAAGAAGCTTCTGGCTGCATCGTTCCAGGGTGCAAGGTGGGAGGCGGAGAGTGGGAGGGAGGGTGCCAAACGAGCCAAACTCATTTTTTATAAGGAACCTGCTGCCTCAGTGATGGCGTTTATCCATTCATGAGGATCATACCCCCATGATCCAGACACCCTGTTAGGCACCTTGCAACGTTGCTGCATTGGGAATTAAGTTTCCACACATGAACTTTGGGGAAAACGCTTCAAACCACAGCACTGGTGAATAGAGAACTCCTGCAAATGAGCAATAACAAGACAACCCTGTTTAAAAATGGACAAAACAATATAACAATAACAAGTCTGTAAATAACAAGTTATTTCAAAATAAACAAAAGACTTAAATACTTCACCAAAGATTTACTGATAGCTAATAAAAACAGGAAATGGTGCTCAGTGTTATCCAAAGTAAACCCACGATGAAAGGCCACCACCCTCATCCAAACACAGCTGACACCGAAGACCAACATGGCAAGTATAAAATGCGGAGCTCCGGGATCTACTCCTAGGCATGGCTAATGAGAGGGCAAATAGCACAACCACTCTGATTAATTGGCTGTTTCTCAGCAATCCCACCTTTAGGTTTGCCCAAGGCAAGTGAAAACCTAAGTCCCTGGAAAGACTTTCACAGCCAGACGCAGTGGCTCAAACCTATAACCCCAGCACTTTAGAAGGTCAAGACGGAGGACTGCTTGAGCCCAGGAGCCTGGCAGTGTAGTATGCACCTGCAGTTCCGGCTACTCAGGAGGCTGGAGTGGGAGGGTTGCTTGAGGCGTGGAGGTCAAGGCTGCACAAGGCTGCAAGGAGTCATGCTCACGCCACTGTACCCAGCCTGGGTGGACACAGCGAGACCCTGTCTAAAAAAAAATAAAATAAAAATAAAAATAAAAATAATTAAAAAAAAAAACACGCTTTTTTTTTTGAGACAGGGTCTCACTCTGTCACCCAGGCTGGAGTGCAATGGCGTGCTCTCAGCTCAGCGCAACCTCCGCCTCCCGGGTTCAAGAAATTCTCCTGCCTCAGCCTCCCAAGTAGCTGAGATTTCAGGAGTGCGTCACCACGCCTGGCTAATTTTTGTATTTTTTTTTTTTTTCTTTTTTTTTCTTTTTCTTTTTTGAGACGGAGTTTCGCTCTTGTTACCCAGGCTGGAGTGCAATGGCGCGATCTCGGCTCACCGCAACCTCTGCCTCCTGGGTTCAGGCAATTCTCCTGCCTCAGCCTCCTGAGTAGCTGGGATTACAGGCACGCGCCACCATGCCCAGCTAAATTTTTTGTATTTTTAGTAGAGACGGGGTTTCACCATGTTGACCAGGATGGTCTCGATCTCTTGACCTTGTGATCCACCCGCCTCGGCCTCCCAAAGTGCTGGGATTACAGGCTTGAGCCACCGTGCCCGGCTAATTTTTGTATTTTTAAGTAGAGACGGGGTTTCACCATGTTGGTCAGGCTGGTCTCGAACCCCTGACCTGGTAATCCATCCGCCTCAGCCTCCCAAAGTGCTGGGACTACAGGCATGAGCCACCACTCCCAGCAAAAAAAAAAAACACACTTTTACAAGAATTCTTTATTCAGAACAGTTCAAATACTTCAAAACTGGAAACAACCACAAATTCCATCAACAGGTGAACTCATAAAGCATGGTATCTTCATAGAATAATAGAATACTATTCAGTAATAAAAAGGAATAGATGGATATGCTCAATACAGAGATGAATGTTCAAAACATGAAAAACACAAAAGGCACATGTAATTCAATGTTTATGGAATTCAATAATGTGCCAAACCAACCTACAATAATAGGAATCAGAATAGTGGTTACTTTTAGGGGGTTGTCTGAGAAAAGGCAAAGGAATTCTGGGGAGCAATGACAATGGTGACTACATCTTGATTTGATTTGTAGACACATGGA